CGATAGGCGCAAAAGTGATTTCACTCTCCCCATATGCAAAACCGAGCGCTTGAAGAACAGTTTTATTTTTAGCCATATTTATAAGATGTAGATAATTTTCCTTCTTTCTTAACGACGAAGTTGTAATATTTTATACGTCCTTTTTATCATCTGTATTTGTAAATATTCTGTAATTCAGCCTATGGCTGCAAGGTGTTTATAACAAAGTATCTATCTGTCTATCTATCTATCTATCTATCTATCTATCTATCTATCTATCTATCTATCTATCTATCTGTTAAGTCATTTACGCATGTAATTTTCGTAGTTGATGATATTTACCGAAACAATATTTCTCGCTCAAAATCTGAAATGCCAGCTATCGGACGAATTTTTCCTAATCTGGTCAAGTACAAGTTTTTCAGGGAGGATATGGCACGATTCCGAAATTAAAGAAACACACCTGAAGATTTGGCTAATAATTTTTTACATGAAGTTTTTTTGTAATTTTACATATGAGCCGTTCTTTTTATATTTGTTTACTTATTTTTATTATCATCGTTTTTTTTTTGCACTAAATAGATATTTCTTCAACCTGTTGGCTGCACTTATCGTCATTGGAACTCTGAACGGCTTGGTGTTTCTGCCCGTGTTGTTGTCCTTGGCAGGGCCTGGTCCCGAGGTAAGTGTAACGGGTAGAAATTTGAAGTATTTGGGTTTTAAGCAGTTGGATGCAATGTTAAAACAAGAATTAAACTAAAGGCATACTAAAGCTTCACGAATGATTGTTAAAACGTCGATGCAATTTTTTTTTTTCAAGTTCATCGTATGCTTTACGAAAACGTAGAAGCAAAATCAAAAGTAATAACAAAGACCAAACAGAGAGAATCAAATTTCTCTCGTAGCCAATGAGAACTCGTAAACATTCAAAACTGCCTGAGGCGCGGGATAAAACGCCGGTGACCCAGCCTCGATTACATGTACGTTTTTGTATTTTATTGGTCGAGGAGGTGGAGCAAGTGTTCTGAAGCAGTCACTGTGTGAAGCCAATTACTAAAACCAATATACCATCTTGAAATGTTTTCAACAAAGTTGCTGTAATGTGTTTATAGTAAGCAAGTTTGGTTGAGGTTTGACCTGACAATGTCATCGCATCATTGTTGACTTTTCGTTTTGTTGTATATCTTTACAGATTGAAGAGGTTCGCCCTCCAGGTACGGCGTCATCTACTGCTTCCAAGAGAGAGTTGCTACCAAGCTCCACGTATCGGCAGAGAACTCCCCCCTCCGACTCCGAGGTTTACATCGGGGAAACTAGTGCTCGACAAGAGGAGAAGTCATCAAGCTCCGGGGGGAGACATACGCGTCACAAGAGGGTTCCTCATAAGAGCAAGAGGCGTTCACATCGAAGCAGGACTCCCACTGTGGATTCTGACTCGTCAAGTTCGACTGTCACTCGGGTTACAGCTCGGGCCACGGTCACAGTCGAAGTTCATACAGAGCAGGTTTCCGCGGAGCGATCAGCGTACCAGAATTTCCGAAGTGGCGGCGCCCAAGTCGGGCCAATCCGTAATGAAGGGGAGATTGGCGAGGAGGATTTGGAAATAACAAATCTGGAGGACTGCGAGAATGTTGTGAAAAGATAGGCGTCAGAAAATCATGGGAAATGTCAGATAAAGGTCCTATGTACACTCCTTCCATAGGAAAACACGTGAGACATGCGTGCGCGCGTGGCGCGAGTAACCTTCCAGTTGCATCGTTAATCAAGAACAAGAAGTTGGTGCAGTTATTCACCAAGAACTTCGAAACATTTTTGTAAAGGTAAAGCCAGTAAAACAGGTTTTTTACTGGATTGTTCCATATTGGACAAGAAAGGCTTAGATTTACGTTGAAGATCTCAGCCATTAATTATTCTAATTTAGAACCGAATACGAACAATATTCGAATTATTTATATTTGGTGTACAAACTTCTAAGGTGTAATTATGCATTAACGTGCTAACTGGGCCCATGTTATCCCATTATATCGTGTAATCTACGTCTTGTGTAGAGTCAAGTTACGGGGTTTGCAGTATTTATAGTAGAAAAGTGGAGAAGAAGCGGCTACTCGCTACAACCTCCACTTTCAAAGAGATGTTTGGTTAATTTAGCATCCTATGTTCTGTATCTGTTAAAGCAGTTTGAGCCCACGAAACAATATATTCAGTGGATTAAAGATTCGTTTTTCGTTATTTCATTGTAAGGGTTAATGTGGTACTGTTTGGGTATATGTGGCTCCAACTTGTTAGTTTATGGGTGAGATCCAGGTGTTTTAGTTGTGACTGAGGAAGTCGCTGGGTTCTAGCACTCTGTTTTGTGAATGAGCTTAGAATGGCAGGGGTGATGAAAAGTTTTACAAGTGTAAGGATACTTCACTAGACGAGTCGAGGTTGAAACCTAGCCTGTGATGGTTGTCCTTAGCGCGATGTGAACCGTGTTTTAATCGGCTCCGATCGTCGAAAGTCCTATCACCAATCTTGTTTTAGGGCCTGATTACATGAGCCGAGCTGGCCCGGTTAGCCGAGCTGATTTCTTTTGTTTTCACGCTTTGGCGAACACCAAAACAAAAGAAATCAGCCCGGCTAACCGGGCCAGCCCGGCTCATGTAATCAGGCCCTTAGTGCGACCACTGATGGCTTTAGTTTTTGCTTTTTGTGGTGTCGGAGCCGATCACCCATTTCTCTGTCTTCTGGTATTTTCCATTTCTTGTTCAGCTCCACGATTCTCTTCTCCTATTACCTACTTGTTCCATGCTGATTTCGCTATGGTTCAGCCACGGCTGAACAACAGTGTCTTACAACGTGTGTACGGTGAATGAATTGGTGGAGGTAACGTTCTCTTGGTTGCCCTTTGACTTGAGCCCCATCAATTTGGTCTTCACGTAAATCCGCTTGCCATGCTGCTGGAGCCTGTGTGAAATTTGATAAAATCATACTTTTAAATGAATAACAGCTGAAACGTAAGAATTGAAGCAAATAACGCTAGATTATTGACGGCAGTTTGAGAGTACAAGACGACTTTGGAACTATTATACCTTCGAACTCTTTCCGCTTGGAAAACTTTCCGCCGTTGTGTGACTTTCTTAATCTTGATGTCTCAGCTAAGGAGGAGTGTCTCCGTGTTGTTTGCTTTCAGTAACTGAAGATTACACGAAGGTTAGGGCTTCTAATTTTTACAGTTAGGATTCAGGTATAGAGCGACTTTCAGTAGAGTGCCCAAAGTAACCTGGAATTGCATCAATTTTGCTTTTTTTTTTTTTTTTTTTTGCCGTGATTGTTGTGGAAACACGAGCCGTTATCTCAACCAATCAGATGCATAATTGAAGTTCATGGCGACTTGTTCACGCACCTTTTTCCCGCGCTTAAAGAGGCTTGCTTGTTTTGACTCTAAATTGGCTCTATGCAATAGTTTCCTTTACTTTAATTGGGCGTTGTGATAACTGGTGTTAAATCAAAAGGCGCTCTACAAGGTCGCTTACGTAGGTAACGTAGTTTTGTGATGAAGATTTATTTACCCGATGATATAGTCCATCCCCTATAAGTTGTATCATATTTTTTTAAAGGCAGTAGTCCGTAAGTTATTTATTTAATCCTTATTACATTGGAAAAGCTTTAGTAAACAGTGGTACTTCCTGAGGCGTACTAAAGGGACATACGGGATTCGACCCTCAAAGTGACACCGGGAAATAGAACTCTATTGTGTGACTTAATCAAAACGTACTGCCCATGAAGTTTTTAGTGGAAGTTCTTTGGTAGTCTCCTTTGCAGCAGTTGTTTGGATGCGTCTGTGTGCAGAGAGCTTGTTGCGTGACCAGCCGAGACGAAGGCTACGAAAGAGACTACCTGGAGGGAAAAAAGAGTTAGACAAAGAATTACTGTTTACTGGAGTTAGATCTTAGGTCGATTGTTTAGGACTCTAGACGGCATTATCTGATATATTTACACGAACCAATATCCTGTTCGTCGTTCTAGTCGCTGGCCAAGGATATTGAATCGTTGGGCCAACGAACAAGTGTTAAATTATTATCACTGATAAACACTGCTGGATATTTAATGAATAAAGTTACTATAAATCTTACGATCAGTCTAGTTTATTACACAGACAAGCTCGTCAACTTCCTTTAAACCATCTTCTTGTAGAATGACTCCTTAGGCTTTAACACTTTACCTCTATCCTCAGCGGTCAAACGTCTGCTGTGCATGCGCGAACGTTGTAATGTCTTAGTTACCTCTCACACGAGTTACAGACAACCACATAACCGTAACCCAGTAAGTCATGGTATCTTAAAAGCGTATGGCTTTTTCGGTAAAGCTCAGAACTGAATGGCAATAAATGAACAGGATATGTACATTGGAGTACGCTTTGGACAAGTCAGTTTTCCTTTTTGCTACTTTTTTTGTTATCTTTACAGACTTCCCTGGACGTTTTAATTTTCTTTCGCTTATTTTACAAGACAGCGATTGTTTGTTATGCTTTCTTTTGAAGTGTTGCATGGGAAAGTTAGCGTCGCCGGCCGCAATTGATCCTCTTACCCATGGCCAACGTTTGACGGCCGTGTTAATTTACCCTGAACCTCTACTTTGTTAGTCTCCCTCGCAGCCGTTTCTTTTTTTTTTTGGATGTCACGCAACGCTCCCCAAAAGAACTTCTTTTGGAGGAGCGTTGCGTGACATCCAAAAAAAGGGCTGCGAGGGAGACTACTACTTTGTTAGCTAGCATTGCAGGCTCTCATTTCCGGCTGAAGCATAAGCGGGGAAGCCTACGATTCGAGTCAGCGAGCGAAACGCGAACGGAAGGTGATGGGCTGCCAGGATCACTCGCACGCCAACGAATTTTAACGTTTGAGATTATTGTATTTTTGATAATTCAGCGATACTTTGTTCTGCCAGTGGAGGTTTTCCTTGACGTCATTCTATCCCCCGCCTCAAGTACTACTCGGCTTTAATAAATTTAAAACTGCGTACGCCTTGACATGCTCGCCATTTAGAGAATGTCACGCGGCTTTCTCTTCTAAGTGGGATTGATATCGGCTGCAATTAGTTTTTTTCTTTTTATTTGTTGACTTTGTTGCCGAGTTTTACAGTTTAGAATCATTATAGTCACTCGCCGAAATATCATTTTAATAAGAGCGCTTTAATAGAGACCGTAGCATCGAAATTTATGTTATGTTTACGCTATTTGAGACCATCCGGAGCACCATCATCAAAATTCGTAGGTGACCTCATTTCCAATATCCTCGCGGATTTCCGCTCAGCCTCGATCACGTGTCCGATATTCACGCAGACTATATTTTGATGTTCTGTTTACAGATGTCAAGTACCACGAATATAACCATTAACATGAAGAAAAATTTAGTATAGTTGCAGAGGCATGTTAGGTTTAAGCTAGGGATTTTTTTCACGGTCGGATTCTCTCTGATAGAATTTCCGAGATTGGATGTTACTCGAAAGTGAATTTTCTTCAAGCGATCGTGGTTGACTTTGAAGCTATGGGTCAACAAATTGCGTTAAGATTACGGTCTAAACTACAGGCGATCTTCTTTAAGTTAGGGTGTTTCTGTCAGCGAAACTGTTGGGCTGTCCTTGCTGCTGGATTTTTTATTCTTATTGGGCTGTCTGTTGGGATCATGACAGCAAAAATTGAGACAGATGTGGAAAAATTATGGATGGAAGGTAAGTTGTGTCTCCTAACGGCAGGTTGGAGATAGCAAGCGAGGCGTACCGATCTCATCTACTTTGCTTTACAGCAATTCTTACCCTGGCATTAGAGTTAAATTTTTAAAAACATGTCCTCTTTTCGAAATAAGCGCTCATCGATCGTTGGCTATCTCACCTAAAAGCCTTTCAAATCGTAGAACGAAAATACAAATATTACATGTCGCTACCATATACCTTTCGGGTTTTGTGAGGGCATGACAATTGGTGTTTCAAGTCTTATTTCAACGAAAATCCTGTCTTTTTACAGCGTAGCTCATTCTATTTTCAAAACTAAAGCGATCGGTACGTAATGGTCGAATTAGATATCGGTCGTGGTTCAGTGACTAAAAAATACAATGTTATTGTTATTTTTCTTTTTCGCCCAAGTTTTAGCGGCAAAAATCACGTAATACGTATACTAGGTGTTGATCACAAGAGATCAAAGCGATTGAGCGCTGCAAAGTTGTGCTTGAAAAACAAGGGTCATATTAGAATTCCCACTATTTATCTCATTATTTTCGTTTAACTATCAAAATAGTTTTCAGCAATTCGACAACCTTGATGACTGGTATGGAAGATCGAGCAACCGGAAACAGCGTTTATGCATATAAATAAGCTACTTTGTGGTGGCGTGATACGTGGTAACATGATCATGAAGTTATCACGTTGGACTGTGATCAGCTTTTAGCAGAAACCTGGCAGCTGATATTGCAACTTCCATTTGATTGGGCTATAATTGATCGTTATTTTCACTTTCAACCTATTCCAGTTGTAGCTTTTTCTTACTGATTGCGAAATAATCTTCGTACACGAAGTAACTCGAAATGTCCAACAGTGTCGAATGTTGTTGTGCAAATTCAAGTAGAACAGAAAGTGACGCAGCAAAATTTCGCTCCACAACAAAATGCATAAAGACAAATAACACATGGAGAAAAATTCGGAAAGAGGATGTGGAACTAAATATACACTAAAAATAGATGACTAGAAAATAATCGTATTTAAAGCAACTTCTTTCTAATGAACTCTGATATCTGCGATATTGTGAAAATGCAGATTTAGAGCAAAACAAAATTAGCATAAACAACAAATAACAAAACTTTTCTTTGAGGCACAGGTGAATATGTTGATAATACGATGAAAGAAGCGGTGTACGTCGAAGTCATTTTTTTCTTTTTTAATTTATAGTCAAAATTAGCTGCTCTCTGTATTGGATTGGTAACTACCGGGCCCACTTGTATAAAAGGCTGCAGCGTTTAAGTGATACCAAAATGTAAATTAAAGCATTATCCATCGGATAGAGTTTTATCCAACAACAACAACAACAACAACTTTATTAGGTACTTCCATAAGTAGTACATGGCATTACCTAAGTAAGAATAAGTAACAATAATTATATAACATCATTTCGTCTTTAACAGAACTTCTTCTCTGATATTCATTATTTGGAATATAAAAGCAGAAATGAGTCGACATATAGACGGATCAGCGTTATTAAAAAGGAACAACACTTTAGAGTTATGATCAAAGTTTCAAAGCAAGCATACTTTCTTGCGATTTTGTTGTTAAGTTCTAATCGAAAACTATCATATAAAGGACAACAAAAAAGCACATGTTTTTGATCTTGAATGGCAGAAAGAACAGATTCTTTGATTGACTGGGGTCTTTGGAGTCGTGTCTCTTCCAGTTTCAATGTGTAATGTAATTTATCCAGTGGATGGCGTTGTCCAACCTTTAAACAACCATGCAGGGCCTGAACAATAATCGTAGAATCTTTTATTTAGTTCTTTATTTGATTTTGCACAACTAACATAATAACGTTAATAGTATCACTTTTCCGCCACCTGTAAACACGGAGTTTGATAAGAAAGTAATGATTACATCATGTATTTTCGAGTTGTCTCCTATGGAAGAAAATAGCACAATTTCTGCAAAAAGGCCTTCGTTTTCTGCTAAATAGTGATTTCATCTCCGCTCAACAACCGAAAATTCGTTAGCATTCGCGGGCTACTTTAAGGAGACAGGTATTTCAGGAGGCACGTTTTCAGCAATTTTCAAATAAACTTCTTTCCGGGCTTGCTCTGTATTCCGAATATTACCTTACAACAACAATAACAACAACAATAACAACAACAACAACAACAACAACAACAACAACAACACCAACAAATTAAAAACAAAACAACAAGCAGAAAAATGAAAACAGACAGTTCTATTCTATTTTAAAGTTTTGGTTCTATATTACAGTTTTAAAATCAAAGCTATTTATATTTCTTAATGGAATTCATTGTGCTTTTATTCTACAGTCGATGGAAGGCTAGAAAAGGAATTACAATACACAAAGGATTCGGTTGGAGAAGGAGCAGGAACAACCAATGAACTAATAATCCACGCTGCCAATGAAGGCGGCGATAATATCTTGTCCGTCGATTCGATGCAGGAGCATCTTAAAGCAGTTCAAAAAGCAATAGAAATTAAGGTCGACGTATTCGGAAAGTAAGTTAAATGTTGAAAAAATTTCAGCTCGTTTTACAGACCAGCTTTCTTTCATCGTTCAATTCTAACCTCCCATAAGCCTTGCGGAGACGTTGGCGATGTCTTTGATTGGTTGTTTACATACCTTCAGCAATTTTACAACTGAATGTCGAAAGCAATTCTAGGATTTTTCTACCTTCAGTAGAAACGTCAAAACGATTTACAAGGATTTCATTCTGTCTGTTAGCTGATTACGAATCCTTAATAAGAAATTGATTGAATTTCCTTGGACCACAAAAAATATACTTGTTGACTGACACTAACTAACAAAACAACAAAGAGAAAAACAAACGGTATTGTAACAAATTGCTACTGTTTGTTTTGTTTTGATGTGTTTGCTTGTTTTGTTCTAGAACTTGGTCTCACACGGATCTCTGTTACGTACCGGAAGTTCCATCTTTTGATAATTCTTTAGTGGACGGGGTAGGTGAAAACATTTTATGTAAACACATTGATCTACTCAAGAGTTTTCATTTTCTACCCAATGTCCTAGCTTCTATTTCCTCGTGAAAGCGTAATTTTAATTCATGAAGAAAAAAGTTTCCTTTTCAACAAATATTATGGCGGGTGCACGGCCGCTCGTCCTGCGGCTCGTCCTGCGCTCTCCCCTCCCCCCTCCCCTTCCCCCCGACATCTCCCGGGAGGATCGAAGACTGGACTCGGGAAAGTGGCAGAAATTGAGCCTTATGCAAATACTTTTAGAATTAAGTTTATTATGATTTTAAAACTGTTCTATCCGGCCCTTATCCTGGTGTCTTTCAGATCATAGCAGCCATTATTCCCTGCCTTATTATATCACCTTTGGATTGATTCTGGGATGGAGCGAAGAATCTTAAACTGAGGGCCGAGCTACCAAACATTGCCAAGTAAGTATGTTTAAATTGCTGCAGTTGCCGTATGACTCACCTTTAAAACGTAACTTAGTGCTTTGTGAAACGAGAACTATTCTTAAATTCGCCGGGGGGGTTTAGATGATAATATCTACCTGACCCCCCCCCTTCACAACTGGGCTCTGTTATATTCTTATGATCCTCCCATTATTGGCAGTTAATAAGCAGTCAAGTTTCTTAGCCCCCCCCCCAATAGTCTGTTAGTGACGACTGATTCCCCACTCCGTTCCCCCTGAAAACCGTATGACCCCCCCTTAAAAAAATCTTTCATCCCACCCCCGATTCCAAGGCATAAATAATGGCTGGTCCCTTATTAAACATAAGTTGTTTCCTTAAATTTATTTGAGGCACTAAATCTTTTTTTTGTCTGTTTTTAGAGGGTTTAAGTTAGAATGGATAGAAAGCGACCCCAAATCTCTTCTAACGCTGTTAGATGTGTTTAATATTGAAGGCAAAGACGAAATCACAGATCTGTTTGTTAAGGTGGGTAGTAAAATGATTTCCAACTTTTGGTAATCAACTTTACGTTAAACTTTGATGATCATTCAACATTTAATTTTGATTCTTGATACATTTTTCTAGGCTGGTATCAACAAAGGGTATCAAGAAAAACCCTGCCTTGATCCCACAGAGCCTAAATGCCCGAGCACGGCTCCTAACTCTCCCTCGAAAACGGGAAACGATAGGAAGGTATAAATAACATCGTAAACAAATTTGTTTAGGTGAGAATAGGATAGAACAGTATTTAGGGTGCTTCTTCCTTGGTGACAATTTAGTCAACCCAGACGTTCAGCGGTCGAACGTAGGCCATGCGCAAGAGATTTATTTTGGCCGGTATGCGCAGCAATTTCCCGTCCAAAATTTTTTAGGACTGGAAAACATAAGAAACAACCGCTGACAGGCAAAATATAGGAGGAATATAGAAACATTCGGAGAAGTCTGAGCTTTATAAAAATAAGTTATACTCTTTTGAATAAACGTGACTTTTGACTTGCATGGTTGCGTGCAATTCCTGTAAGACAACTCGGATCTGCCAACCTAAAAGCACTCCATTTAAACGCTACAACGTTCACACATGTGTAGACGTTTGACCGATGATTCGCACATTCTATTTTCTTACAATTATTGATTCAGGCACCAGACGTTAAGTCAGAGCTAAACGGAGGTTGCAAAGGCTTTGCAACGGAATTCATGCAGTGGGCTGAGGAGCTAATCGTTGGTGGAGCAACAAAGAACAATAATACGTTATCAAGGTTAGTTACTTTAAGTATATTGAAAGTATCTGAATCTCAAGAACGCATACCAGTGATTGGTAAGATCTGCACGCCAGAGTTGAAATGTTTTTTTGTTTTTTGCCTTGGAAGCGAGACTAAAAAAAGAAAAAAACTGGATCATGTTTACTGCAGGTACTCTCGATACGGTCGATATATCGGTCGATATATCGGTCGATATATCAGTCAAGAGTCCGCCAATACTCGACCGATATGTCGATGGAGAGTCCGCCAATACTCGACCGATATGTCGGTGGAGAGTCCGCTAATACTCGACCGATATATCGGTGGAGAGTCCGCCAATACTCGACCGATATGTCGGTGGAGAGTCCGCCAATACTCGACCGATATAAGCGTGGAGA